TTCTTCTGTACGTGTGTATGTCCCTGAACTTCTCCTAAACGGCTGGACCAATTTTAATGAAATTTTTTGAGTGTTTTCAAGTCGATTCGAGAATGGTTTAGATTCACAATTCGGGACACTACAACTCTTTTTTATATCAAACTGTCACGGTTAAATGTACCTAATAACAGAATGTTACTTTAAAACAATTGATTTCTGTAATTGAAAGCATTCGCGTGTGATATGACCGCAAGGGTATTGCTGCTGCATAATGAATCAGATTCTACTGTGTTTTATCGTATTGCGCCATTATCGAGTAGCATGCCAACGCTTTGAACGGCTTTTTACAAACAGATTAAATAAGGACAATCACCCCGAAACAAATATCTGTAAATTATAAATTATAAAAAATATGTGTGGAAATCGAACCCCGACCCGTAGCGTGGAATTCTATCGCTTAGCAACTGACCCAATTGGGTCATGAAAAGTCAGTTGCAGGAAGGAAATGCATTGTTTTCAAGCAATGCCAGTTTTAGACGATTTTAAATTGACACGCCTTCATAAGTAAATGATATTTAATATTTTTAAGTCTTACATAAATATAAAATAAATATTTATTTGTAAAGTTTATCTAAACTATTGCATGGTAAAAAATCTCAGGCATTTTTGTTTAAATAATTTTATAATAATTTCTTGTATTTACGCGATTACACATTATAAATGAAACTAATTTTACGGATTTATCGCGTTTATTTTTAATTTAAGTTCTCGACGTTTCGAACCCTTTACAGCGTTCATGGTCACGGGACAGACTGAGGTGTTAGACGTCTGATTGTCAAAGTTATCCCGGGCTACCGTCAGTTTTTGTATTATTGATTTTGTGTCCGATCTATGCAGAGGGAGCTAATTGTATCTTGTCTTGCAGTAGTGGTTCTTTTGGGCTTAGATTTAATTTTATTGATTATAGGATCCCAAGCTGATGGTAGTACCCAACCCTCTTCTCTATTGAAATTAGGGGTGTTTTTTAATTTCAATAGCCTCGCGAATCATCCTTGGGAGGAATCGGTGTTCTTTTGCAAGGATCTGTGGTCTATCAAACCTGATGTAGTGGTTGGGCCAATTTAGAGTGTGCTCACAAACAGCAGACTTGTTTAATCTACTATGTTTTATGTCAGCTATATATTCTTTCACGCGGGTTTTTATAGGTCTTTTGGTTTGTCCTATGTAAGAGAGCCCACATTCACAGTCAAGTTTGTACACTCCTGGATCTTGCAGAGGGATATTACACTTGACAGATGGTAAAAACTGACTAATCTTCTTCAGCGGCTTGTAGAATGTATTAATTGAAGCCCGCTTTAAGATATAGCCAATCTTGTCTTGTGGGTTTGCCTAAAATACACAAACCAGACTTGCCATTACGGCCTATTATAAGCCAGATCGACTCACCAACTTACAGACTGGCTCAACATCTAGTACAAATTCTCTCACCGCTGAGAGGACACACACGGGCATACACAAAGGATTCGTACCATTTTGTTAGTGAGATAAAACAACTATGTCTTGCTGACAATGAAACAATGGTCAGTTTTGATGTACAGTCTTTATTACATGCCTACCATTAGAAGACTGCATCTCAATAGTAACAAGGAAGCTAAAAGAGAATAACATGCCGGAAGAGTATGCATTACTACTTAAACATTGCCTAACATCCGGCTATTTGCTTTGGAAGGAGGAATTTTACATACAGATAGATGGTGTAGCAATGGGCTGCCCAGTATCTCCCATTGTCGCTGACATATTTATGGAAGACTTTGAGGAGAAGGCCCTTCGCACAGCTCCCATTTATCCAAGGTTTTATAAGAGGTATGTAGATGACATCTTCACCATTTTACCAACAAGTAAAGTTAATGCATTTTTCAATCACCATAACTCAGTAAATTCCAAAATACAATTCACTATGGAATTAGAGAATAATAACTCTTTAGCTTTCTTAGATGTTTTGGTCATCCGCAATCCAAATAACACTATAAGTCACACTGTGTATAGGAAGGCAACCCATACAAATAGATACTTAAACGGTGACTCTCACCACCATCCATCCCAGTTAGCTACCGTGGGTAAATCTTTGTTTCAGAGAGCACAAGGGATCTTTGACAAACAACACCTGGCCGCTGAGCTTCAACATATCAAGCAAGTTCTGCATGACAACAAACTTCGAGCACCGCGCCTACGTCACAGTGACCGAGTGAAACCAGCCACAGTGGAGCGAGTACCTGCTGTTCTACCATATGTCAGAGGAGTCACCGACAAGATTGGCTATATCTTAAAGCGGGCTTCAATTAATACATTCTACAAGCCGCTGAAGAAGATTAGTCAGTTTTTACCATCTGTCAAGTGTAATATCCCTCTGCAAGATCCAGGAGTGTACAAACTTGACTGTGAATGTGGGCTCTCTTACATAGGACAAACCAAAAGAGCTATAAAAACCCGCGTGTAAGAACATATAGCTGACATAAAACATAGTAGATTAAACAAGTCTGCAGTTTGTGAGTACACTCTAAATCGGCCCAACCACTACATCAGGTTTGATAGACCACAGATCCTTGCAAAAGAACACCGATTCCTCCCAAGGATGATTCGCGAGGCTATTGAAATTAAAAAACACCTTAATTTCAATAGAGAAGAGGGTTGGGTACTACCATCAGCTTGGGATCCTATCATCAATAAAATTAAATCTAAGCCCAAAAGAACCACTACTGCAAGACAAGATACAATTAGCTCCCTCTGCATATATCGGACACAAAATCAATAATACAAAAACTGACGGTAGCCCGGGATAAGTTTGACAATCAGACGTCTAACACCTCAGTCTGTCCCGTGACCATGAACGCTGTAAAGGGTTCGAAACGTCGGGAACTTAAATTAAAAATAAACGCGATAAATCCGTAAAATTAGTTTCATTTATAAATAATTTTATTTCATATGAAATTAATTTATATTATTGACAAAGATTAATTTCATATGAAACAACGGTAGTAGCGTACAACAGCGTAGCATACAACAAAGCTAACGGGGGTAGAGCCACGCAGCAGCCTCGGCTGTTGCACGAACGGGCAAGCTCGTCCGGGTAAGTACCACGACCTCGCAGAAGACCGGCGTAAAGTGGAAGTATGACAAATACTTTCGCGTTTCATCTGGTGAGTGAGGTAGCCGGAGCCCCATTTCCAAAAATGTCATTGTAAACGCATCTGCAAACCCTAGGGTGTAGCAGAGGTCCGTGGGCGGCGGTATTCACTTAACATCAGGTGAACCGTCTGCTCTTTTGGCAACTTTTCACATAAAAAAAACAAACTTGGGTGCATATTGCACAAGTCACCAGTAGTCTAATCTTATTTAAATTCTAACCTACTTAGTAAAACTAAACTTAATGTAAATCAATCGTGTTAATGGAATACCAATACCATACACTGACGCCCGGTTTCTGAAACACTGATCATCACATAATGATCTTATTAATGATCAGAATGATCCATTCAAAGAGTTTAACAATCCTTTTGGCAACTCAAATAACATTTGAAAAGCCATTTGACAACTGATTAGTTGACTTCTACGATGATCAGTGTTTCAGAAACCGGGCGTGAGATGTTCAACTTATAACGTTTCCTAGGTTTAAAAATCAGTCTTATATTTAATCTAGTATTTGTAGTGTCTTTTAGTGATTTCCTATTAATGTAAATTGCAAACCTATATTAACCAAAAATGACCGAATAATGAAACATTTTTGTAGCTTTTTTAGTGTTACAGGTAATGGCGGCCACCATATCACCAAAAGAAAAGAATACATGAAAAGATGGGCCGACATTTAATTGAACCGAAAGTGCAATCATTAAATAAAAATCGTGAAATGTAATACTTTGTAATATCCACTTAATACAAGTTTTAATACAAAATTCAAGAAAGTGCATTAAGATGATGGCTCTTGCTTGGCAAAGGTCTGTAGTTCAGGGAAGCAGTGCCGGATTAAGCAAGCGCGGGGCCCGTAACGAATTCTTTCAAACATCCCATTATCTGCTATGGGTTCTTAAGTATAAAGCGATAAAACCAATTCCATACACTTACTAATTTAATAAGTTTCACTCAAATAATTAAGGCTCAAGCAGAGATGAGTGGGTTTAAATATGGCCCTTTGGCTCGGGGCCCGTAACAATCGCTACTTTTGCTACGCGGTTAATCCGGCACTGCAGGAAGGACTTCAATTTATAAAATGTAATATCAAATCATAATGTTACAAAATTAACCAGCTTTGGTGACTTTCTTAATCTTATCAAGAAATGTTAAAAATTCAATGTTTTAGTTCAATGTCCAGATGTACATAATAATACATATTCGATCGGTTCGAAGCTCAGTCTCGTCAAGAACCTAAATTAACAAATTGACTAACTGTATTGATATGATGGATAAATTCGTGTTGTAATTTAAAATTTCATTATTACATTTATTTATTTATTTTTGTAAATATTTAATTTTGAGTATGAACTTAAATAAATTCCGTCGACTTTAATATATCAGAATAAAAATATGGCTATCTTTTATTAGAAATAAGATTGTAGACATTATTAGTAATATTTAACGAATTTAATTTAAAGTATAATTACGTAATTATAAAACAGGATTGACAACGTATAGGATTTGGTAACTCGAGTGGTGTAGAGATGGAAAGGATACGGATTAATGAGGGTTGCGTTAGTTTAGGACGAACTCAATTATCCCTGGAATTATCTATCGTTTTATTTCAATTGGTGATATTATATTATGCAGAGATTTTTTTTTTCATTTATTAAGAAGATTTTTGCTCATGAATGTTTAACAACATTTATATAACTTTATAAGTATACCTAAAATTTAAAATTAGATTAATAAAAGGAAAGCAATTGAAGCGTTTTCGATGTAAAATTTCAAGACGTAATACTGTATCACCAACAATGCACAACAATCATTCCTTTCTTACGCCCACAACTCACCTGCTAACAGATTCACCTTAAAACAATGTTACTATTCTAAAAGAACATACGCACTAAACAACAATTGACATGAAACTAGTAACTTCTTAGATAATTTTACAATTAATCGTATATTTGATGCGGGGGCGGTGATTATGGGGAGTCTGAAGATGGATACATTTTATTTAGCCAGCCGGTAAACCGGCGGCTTGCACGCTCTCTTCCACAACTGACATTTCGCCTCTAAAATTATTATTTTGATAAACCACCCAGGAATCTGCTGGGCATGCGCGGGCTCTCGCCAATTGGAACAAAGTTCATGCAAGGTATTGGAGCTCCCACAAGCAAAGAGAGTCGCGGATTTGACACATGTTTGAAGAATTCAACTTAAAAACGAGCAATCGCAGATGGCTCGATAAAACATTCGTTCAGGTTTTAAATTGCAGTTTTGATTGGATAAATAGACACGAACTTCACGTATTTCCATTACTCGATGGGATGTTTTGATGAATTTTAATTAGCGCCAGGACTGGATGGCTAAGGACGCTTGCGCGTAACTCAAATCGATACGGGGTTTTTTCTATACGTAGGTATAGGTACGCAATCATGACTACATACGGGATTGACCGGACCAAAACACCGAGGGGGAGAGTTTGCAGCCGGCTGCTTGTTACAAATTTCAACTCATGACGTATCGATTTGTACACGTACTGTTGATCTATTTTATCAAAGGAGATGCTTGCATGCATCAGCGAATTTACAAATTTGTCGCCAATAGGCTGTTCAATTTTTACCCTCCTGACCTCTGAAATGCGGTTCGCAATCGTATTGATAACATTTATTTTATCAACAAAATTACAATTTTATGATTTGTGCTGTATCGTCTTCATTACATCAGTTTTACTGTATCCAAAGTGTAAAATGGGATCCTGTTACTAATACTACGCTGTTTTCACCAGGCTGTATCTTATGAACCGTGAAAAAACGGTATAAAAACAGACATGATTATGCCGTTTTTATAGTTAATGATACGGAACCCATCGTGCGCGAGTCCGACTCGCACTTGGCCGGTTTTTCTAGTTATTAATATGGTTTTGAACTAGGGTTTCATTGTGTCAGGTACTACATTATTTTTACAATCTACGATTTAGTTAAAATTCATGAAAATTAGTTTTTGGGTATATATTTCTGAGCTAAAAAAGTCCATCATGTTCTTATTATATGACGGGGTAAGGTATACCTCAAAAATACTTATAGCAATATATGAACATAAATATTTTTTTATTGCACTAACAGTTAAATAATAACACGAACATTATGTGTATTAAATATACTGTCAAAACCCCGGTAAATAAAGACATTAAAATTAATAAATGTTATGAATCTCTTACATTACGCCAGATTACAAATTCGCAAAATCATCAATTATATCGTCATATGAAATCGTGTTCATTAGTTCTGACTCTATGCACAAAAGAGCTAAAGCGTTTAACCTTTCTTGACATAAAGTCGATCTTAAATATTTTTTCTCCCCTTTTAAGTAAGAATATTTTAAAAATGTATGATCACCAAAATATATTATAAAAAGAGTTTAGTAACAATTCATAAATACAGACGTGAAAGTGTTCAGTGTACTTGTACACTGCTAAAATATAAAAAATTCGTTAAATGCTCAATACTCGTTTTCTCTATATAAATATTAAATATTTTAATTCTGTAAGACAACAGTTTTTGGGCCAAATTTGCCGCCCCCTAAAATCCGCCGCCAGAGGCTCGAGGCTACTTAGCCTGCTGTGTTTCATCCAATAACTTTACTAAGTGTAGTGATATCTCCTACAGTGGTAGGTACACGCAACAGCGTGAAGAGGAAGTGGTGTACCTCTGCGTTTCGTCCGGTGAGTGAGGTAGCCGGGACCCACCAGCTCGATGGCCACAAAATAATAAATAAGAAATGTACTCTAAATGTGAGGGGATATATTATTTGTATATGCGGTAAGGTATAAGTTCTCTAACACTCAAGTTCAAACCATCTGATTCAACATGTATTTACAAGCAGCTTCTGATTAAAAACTGACAGTAAGTCGGTTTCTGTTTGCGTAAACTATTGTGTTGTTATTTATCTACTGACATATTACTATTTAATATTGAACGGTGTAAGTGTAGAAAAAAACGTTCTGATTAAAAAGCCCTCGAACGCGCGTCGGTTTCGAACTACAGACGTCTTCTTATTTATATATAGGGAAGCCAGCCACGCTGCGTTACATGTATATTATACTAAGTGGAAGTATTATACTTTTGCATTTCGCCTGGCAAATGAATGGTACAGTTATCACTTAACATCAAGTGAACCGCCATCTCGTTTGGCACTCTCTCACATAAAAAAGTATGTGTGTTTTTATGTACGCACGTAAGAAGTTATACTTCTTAGCGTAAAGACATTAAATTTAAATGCAATTGATAACTTTCTATTTAAATGACTCGAAATTATTGGTAAATGTCACAAAGTTATTGGTTGCTAAGATTAAATTGGTTACCAAGCATCATGTCGCTTTTTGAGGGTCGGTGTGCGCGCGGATCGTAAAAATCTTACCCTCACTTCTTCCACACGCGCCAAAAGAAGTATAACTTCAAAAGAGTTATTTTTTTAAGAATCTCGTACATTGCCTCTAATCTAATCGTAAAACTGGCAATACCGTTGACTTTTTAAAGTAGCAAATTTTTCTAACATTTTTTTTACAACACGAAATCAAACAAATGGAGGATCGTGCTTCGCTGTAGTCTAGTGCTCAACGCTAGACTAAAAGAAGCTTAAATGATGATGATAATTATAAAACCCGTGGGTTTAATCTCTAGAGCATCACAATGGAACCAACAAAGTATATATCCTGATTAACACATTACCCTCTTTTGCGTTGCGCAGTCGAGTAGAAAGGACGTATTCTACAAAAAAGTATATTTTTTTAATGTGAAATATTACACCAAGCTACTCCTTTAGAAAGGGTACATTAAAGCTGCCTTGGAAATAAATAAAAAAGGATATCGCTAGAACATTTATTCTTAAAAATCACACAATTCACTAAATAACATGATTAAAGTTAAACAATAAATGTGATTAGCAAGACTTTCTTAAGAGTATCTTTCTACAGAATTTGTTACTAATAAGTTAATTTTAGTAGTGTTTATCTCATTAATACTAGAAATACATAGTTTATGCATCAGAGAGGGCAGCTACGCCTGGCAACACCTTACCTGAAAATTTAAACATTTACAAATATTAGCTTGTTCATTTCCTTTTATTTAACTAAAGTCAAATTTCAGCAACATATGAATGGTATTATTTTGAAAATATGCAGGTTTCCTCACGATGTTTTCCATCACCGCGGAGCACGTGATAAGTCAGCACTTAAAGTTAAAAACTTCATTGGTTCTGGCACCGGGGATCGAACTCAGGTTGCTCGAGTATATTGAATTAAAGGCGAGCGCCCGGACACAGCTATCACGGCTCCAAATAGTACATATGATGTGGTAATTTTTTTACTTGAATTTTACGAAATTATTTATTTTATATTACGAGATGTTGTAAAAACGTTTTTTTCTACCAATTGGATATAATACATACCCTCAAGCAGTTCTAGCGATGCTCCACCGCCAGTAGAAACATGGGACACCTTATCTTCAGTACCCCACTTGGCGCAACATGTCGCAGTGTCCCCTCCACCTATGCAAATATAATTTATGCATATATTATTATGAATGATTTAGGAAAATAATCGTAAAAAGCAGTCATTGTATTAATTAATTAAAATCTTCTTTAATAGAAATACAACACAAGTCTTATTTAATTTTAATATTTTATTAATCTTGATCTAAAACTATTTAAATTTTTTTCATTTAAACTTCTGGGATATCAGGTGATATATAGCAACGACTCATGGTTTCTTTAAATGACGAGGGTAGGTTGAAAATTACGCGGCATAATAAGAAAAATTGAATAAAATAAAATATGATAAAGCACATTTTTTATTTTATAAATAATTTAGATTTATATATTGTAAAATAATTCTTACAGGGCTTCAAAAGTTATCTACCACAGCTTCAACCCAAAGAAACCTTAAATAATAAAATTTTCGGACATGGACGTGATTTTTTTTATCTATATCCAAACGGATATAGATAAAAATACAAAGGTGTCAAATCAGTAAAATAATACCAAAGATTCAACATTACATTAAGTGTAGTTATATGCCAGATTTAGAGCTACGCCTTTTGTAAAGTAGTTCAAAATAAAAACATAAAAATAAATTATAGTAAAATCATCACATTTTTCCATTGCTCGGATTGTTTTTGGGATTGAGTCTATTGTTTTTGTGATTTCATCAATGTTCTCATCTCAAATTTGTTAAAAAAATGTAGCAGATCAGTCTCAAAATATTTTCATACAGTCGTGAGAAATTGTGAACTGAACTTGGTTTTGTTTGACTGAAAGCAATAATCTGAACTATCAAGAGGAAACTTTACACAAACCAAGTTTACTATGAAGTTTTGCATTCAATGAGTTTTGATATTGTCTTAGCCATTGTTTTTAATTCTGCTAACCACTTTACATAATGGAAAGGTTCCTACCGAGTTGGTCCTCGTCATTGAAGATCTCCATGGAGGTTAGTTTCTTAAATATGATGTTTTTCAATTTTCTGCACTTTAAAATTTTATTTTTATTAACCAAAAAATTATGGTAGCTATGACAACCAATAAACAGTAGTAAAATAAATAATAGAAATATAATATGCATATGTGACTCTACAAACTTTACCGTTAATAATGTACTACTCAATTTTTTTAAAACAAAAAAGCAATCGAATATCTCACCAATTATGGTTACGGCCCCATTGTTAGTTGCCTTTACAACACAGTCCATCAGAGCTCTGGTTCCACCGGCAAACTTTTCAAATTCAAATACACCAGCAGGTCTACAGGAGAAATTTAACATCTTTGTAGTTGCATTACGACTGTATGGTAATAGACAATTTTAAGATTTATTCTTTCTTGAAAGAAAACAGAATATTCTATGCTATGGTAAATCATTGTTAAACAGCACCACTAAAAAAAAACACATTTAAAAATTAAAAGTAGGTCATCTTTTTGTTATGCTGAATACTCTGTCTCAAAGTATGAACTTATTTAATATTGATGGTTGAGTTTTTGAATACTGATAAATCTGAACTTAAGTTGATAAGTATATGTTTCATTGAATAGCAACTTACCCATTCCATACAATAACCTTGGCTCTTGCAATGGGTTCAGCAAACAGTTCCCGTGTCTTTGGTCCAACGTCAAGGCCCATCCAACCATCTGGAATACCTGTTTCAACATCAGCAGCACCAACCTTAAAATAATTAGCTCTGTGTAGTATATATGCAAATAATAATAGTAGAACTGAAAGCAGTACTTTTATTTATTTTAGGTATTTCAATCAAAATAAGTAAATATGCAAAAAAAAAGCATCACTGTGAATTGTGTTTTACATGTCATAAATTTGTAAGTTTTCAAAATAATAATGTGATATAATTAAATATCAATAATTTCTTCCATATAATTCATTAATTGATTCTACCTGTGCATTCTCATCAAACTTATCGGCAGTGATAAAGTCTACAGGCAGGTGAAGTTTAACATTATTCTTAGCAGCTTTTTCAAGTAACTTGGTAACAATCTTTGCTCCATCAGCATCATAAAGGGAATTGCCAATCTGAAAATAGGGGTTGTTATAAAAAAGTTGTACATAGTTATAATTTAAATTTTTTATAATCAGTAATGGTTTATGTTGAAATAGTTTAGTCTTAAATATGTTTTAAGCATATGAATTCACTTACAGCCATGCCTTTGGTCTCTTTTAGGAATGTATATGCCATACCACCACCAATGATCATTTCATTGACTTTGTCAAGCAAATTCTCTATCAGCAGGATTTTGTCTGCAACCTTGGCTCCACCAAGGATAGCCAAGAATGGCCTGCAAAATTATGTAAAGTTCCAAAGTTAATTGAAGGTAGACAAACTAAAAGTTAATATTGATAAATAATAATAACTCTTATTACTGAGTTAAGGCATACCTTTCTGGTTCATGAAGAGCTTTTGCAAAGTATTGGAGTTCTTTCTTGAGCAAGAAACCACTTGCCCTTTGTTCAAACCCTTCTCCCATCATAGAACTGTGTGCTCTATGGGCAGTACCTAAAAATAAGTTCAACTAGTGTGTTGTTGTGTGTAACACTAAGAGTTAGGCTTAATATCTTATTACTTAGTGTAAATAATAGGATTTTACTGAGCTAGTGGACCCATAGCTTTTGCCTGTATTATCAGCTTAGCATTAGATGGAATAGCAGTCCAATTCTTTTCTTAATAAAACAAAATATGCAATTAATTAAACTCACCAAAAGCATCATTAATGTAAACATCTCCCAACTTTCTCAGGCTAGCTCTGAATGCTTTAATTTTCTCAGGATCAGCTTTTACTTTAGATCCACTTGCATCAACACCTTTGCCTTCTTCTTCAATATGGAATCTCAAATTTTCTAACAAAATTATAGAACCTTGAGCAGGATCAGAACAAGCGGCTTCGACTTCAGCACCAACGCAATCCGAGAGGAAAGTTACATTCCTTAAAAATTATAAGTACAGAGCTCTTAAAATAAATGTACCATGATTAAAGTACCAAGAAAAAAATATTAAAAACTAATAAAGTACAACTTTTTACATACTTATTTAAAAGTTTTTTCAGTTCTTCTGCAACAGGCTTTAAGGTATATTTTTGATTAGCTTGTCCATCCGGTCGGCCCAAGTGTGACATAAGAACTACTGACTTTGCGCCTTTATCTAAGGCATATTTAACAGAATCAAGAGCGGCCACTATTCGCTGATTATTAGTTATGACACCTTCTTTCAGTGGAACATTGAAATCAACTCTGAAATATAAAAAATCCGGTGTCCTTTAGTGACCCACAGATTAATACATAGATTGATTTCATGATTTATTAACAATTTCGTACATACCGCATGAGCACGCGTTTTCCGCTTAAGTTTATTGCATCAATACTGAGTTTGTTCAAAGCCATTTTAGTTATTTTTATGATATTACACAAAAAAAAAAAATTTAATTCGAATAGGTATGCACAGTGTAATGTTTCAATTCAATCAACTGACAAATTTAACCTTGGATATGTCAAAAAGGTGAAAAATGACATCAATAGCAATACTTGCCCTTAAAAAAATTACCGATGGGCGAATCGAGATATGTAGCTCGGGTAATTCGAATTTACTCCGTTGATATAGGTGCACGCGGGTTCGCGCTATAATCGAAGCTGACAACTCGATAGCCGAGGCAGACTTTGTGAAATTAGAGTTGTGGACTAAAAGCTCGTTTTGTTTCTCCATTACTCGAACTTAAGGTCAACCGACAAAGGTCAGTCAATTGTGAATAATAAAAATAAAAAAAGAACCGACTTCAAAAAATTGTATTAGCACTAAAAAGTTTCTAATATGACTAAATGTAATATAATCAAATCTTGACCTAACTAATCTAAACTTTAACGTAGGTTAACAAATTTTTGGAGTCGGTGCTTGAATTAGAGAAAATACGATTCTCCTCATCAGTAGTTAAAATCGTTTTTGTATTTTTTAATTTCTAATGCAAGTTTTCTATAATGCTGGTAGGTATTTTAAACTTTTTTGTAAAATTCATTTTAAAATTTATATTTCAATTAAATAACACCAAGTAACGATTGCTATAATCAGATATTAAGTGGTATGTACTTATTGACCTGTACAGTGTTACTTTTTTTTGTTGATGATGTCATTTTAGTAGGTTGGTAGAAAAAAGAATTGGGTTGCAGCGGCTTGCGGGAGGAGGAGGCTGTTCTCAACTATTATGTTGGCATCATTGTTCGTCGCGAAATGCACGCATTGGGACGCTCGCATTTGGAATGTTCTTTGAAAATCTACGTTGAAATTTATGAAACGTTGCGAGTGAGTGATAAGTTTTGGGAGTTATCTATTCGAGAGACTACTTTGTGTCTCCATTCTGTGTTTATTAGTGATTGTTTTGGGTGACGAACAAAACTGGTACCAGTGCGTCGAAAGTTGAAACATGGTGCCGCTAGGACCCGGGCCTGGCCATCCTACCGCACACCAAACTCACGGCGGGCCCTCTACCAATTTATCCGGCCCGAATTCGTTATCACAAAGTACTCCGCAATCGAACAAGTCGTCAGTGGCGGTAAATATCGACAGTTTGTTTTAGCATTTCCTCGTACTCGTTTCATTCTGGCGGTTCGCACATGTTTATGTAACTTCTATTCCCGAGCACGTGCGATTTGGCGCTAATTTTGTTATTCGCTTTCAGAAGCCGAATTACACATTAAAATTTACTCTTGCGGGACACACAAAAGCGGTGTCGTCAGTTAAATTCAGTCCTAATGGAGAATGGCTGGCAAGCTCCTGTAAGTATTTTAGACACAAGTTACTTCTCCATATAAAGCTTACGAAATTTCCTTCTACTTTCTTATAAATTTAATTTTTGGTTTTCAATTAACATCTGTCTTATCGTTTGGTGGTGTATGTAAAACTTTTTGATAGTTTGCAACTGTACAATTAGCGCATTTTACATATATATGTTATACCATAGATGCTTTTCAACTTTTAAGTTGTGTGACCTTCATTGGTAGTCGTGTGTACAATTTTTTGTATTGCTATCGTTTATTTATATTCTCGAATTCTTTATTATGTTAATGTAAATAGCAAAATATTGATTTTATTTTAAATTCTTTTATAATTAATTTCGCGCCATTCAATGAACTGTCAAATTAATTTTGTGATTTACAATTGGATTGATAAAATTTCTGAATAAATGAATAAAACAAATAAAACCTAATTATCCCTAATAATGCAAATGCTTTGTTTTCTGTTTATTTATGTAGAAATGTACCTAGATGATAAAATTAGTGAATAGTGTGACACTTTTAAATAATAAAATCAGCAAAATTGTCTAAATAATTCACAAGTACTCAGTAATATTTAATTGTGATTATTTAGATATTTTATTTTATGAGAATGTTTAACCTAGATAAGTAATTATAAGGTACTTATACTTACTAGGTAGTAACAATATATTATATTATGTGTCATCAACAATATGTTACAAAGTGATTATAAAGTAGGACTGATCCTGATGTATTTAATGAGTGTAAAGCTTTTCTTATTTTCACCTGTAAATTCAGCTGTATTTTTTTTAATACATCAAATTGTCATTTATGTTTTTTCAGCTGCTGACAAACTTATTAAAGTGTGGGGTGCCTATGATGGCAAATTCGAGAAGACTATTTCGGGACATAAAATGGGTATCAGTGATGTGGCCTGGTCTTCAGACAGCAGATTGATAGTCAGTGCAAGTGATGACAAAACATTAAAAGTAAGATATACTCTTGAATAAAAAAAAAAAATAACGCCTTGTGTCTAAGTATTGCTCGTTATAGCAAAAAGGGATAACTGTGAAAAAGGAATCATGTAATATAGGTTAAAAAACCTTTAAAAGTTAATGATGTAACATTGTGCAAAACTTATAGAAGACGGAATCATGACTTATATATGTATATGTTTATAAAACTCTAGTAAGAGTTAATGATGTAATGTTATGTAATGATTAAATCATTACTAATAACATTGTATACATATAGCATTTAATGACAAGTAATTCTGTAGTTTAATCATTGCTGCAAATTAGAGTGGTAGAGCCATGCAACAGGAATGGGCGGGTCTATCCGGGAAAGTATCATAACCTCACAGAAGACTGACATGAAGTGGAAGTGTTACACTTTTTCATTTCTTCTGGTGAGGGCGGTTGCTAGGGGCCCACTTCTAGTAGACGGCGTCAGCGTATCTGCAACCCTATGGGTATTGCAAATGTCTATGGGTGGCGGTTATCACTTAACATCAGGTGAACTGCCAGCTCACTTGCTCACATAAAATAATATATTTAAGTTTGTTTGTTGTATAATGTAAACAATTATTACTAATAATTTTTAGTAATTTGACCTAAATGTGGTACACAGGGATAAATTTAAGCTATTGTTTCCATGCTACAAGTACCAAATTAAGGTTGCAATTTAATTTTCAAAGAAATTTCACCTTAATTTGCTAAAGGCTTTTGAAGTTGTGGTATCATTTAAGATAATAATAATGTAGTAAAATGTTTTTATTTTTTTGTCCTTGAGTAAAAGGATTTTACTAAAAATAACTATATTGCTGTAACTGTTTGTCTTTTATGTCTTTGTAAAAATTTTATTTGCACTATTAAGAATTTTTTTTAATTACAGTTATAGTTGGTTTTTAGATCAATCATATCTTGGCCACTTAAGAAAATTGGCATATAATTATAAAATAAGTAGAGTAGATAATACAGTAATAAAAGATTAAAACTTACTCGAGGAACTTAAATATAATATTTTAAAATTTACATTGAAAAAAAAAAAAAAATCATTTTAAATATGTGTTAGTTATCAGATCATGTGAAAGTCTCACGGTACCTATTTAAGTGTCATGGAATTTATATCTCTGATAAACAATTTGTCCCAGATTGATAAAGTTGTTGTTTACTTTGTGTCTTAACTTTCTGATTTTCATGCATGATACTTTAAAAGCTTACAGTTTATGATAACATAGAATTACTCCTAAAACTTAAAAAAAAAGGGTGAGAGATACAGAGGATGGAAGATTTTATTAACATTATTATTTACTATAATTTACAGGTATGGGAGCTTAGTTCAGGCAAATGCTTAAAGACTTTAAAAGGACACAGTAACTATGTTTTTTGTTGTAACTTCAATCCGCAAAGCAATCTTATTGTATCTGGAAGTTTTGACGAAAGTGTCCGTATATGGGATGTGAGAACAGGTAAAAATAAAAACTAAAATTGAAATTTCTTTATTTGAATAACTTTATTTTAGTACATTTTTATGCTTTACATATATGGTTTGTTTTCAGGCAAATGCTTAAAGACTTTACCAGCTCACTCAGATCCAGTTTCAGCAGTTCATTTTAACAGAGATGGAAGCCTTATTGTCTCATCCAGTTACGATGGTCTATGGTGAATATTATTTTTTATTTTCTTTAACATGCTTTTCACAGTATAAGGTAATAATGGTGTTCTGTTATAGTATTGCTATCATCATACTTTTCATTACACCATTGATAAGAGAAAAACTGAATAATATCATTGTTTTTAAACATCAAATGGTATACTTATTTTGCAGCCGAATTTGGGACACAGCTTCAGGACAATGCTTAAAAACACTTATAGATGACGATAATCCACCAGTTTCCTTTGTCAAATTCTCCCCTAATGGAAAATATATTCTTGCTGCAACTTTGGACAATACATTAAAATTATGGGACTATAGCAGAGGAAAATGCCTTAAAACATACACTGGACATAAAAATGAAAAATATTGTATCTTTGCTAACTTTAGTGTTACTGGTGGAAAGGTAATAATTATTCAGCTTGTTATCATTTTCTGATTGATGCATTACTTTTTTTCTTTGTAAAAAATATATCCTAGTCTGTAATGTTATATTAATTGGTACTTATATCAATTTTGTCTTAACTAAATCTGAAATTTGTTTACTGAATAAATTGTAAGTTTAAATAGGCATTTATAAGATGCAATAATTTTTACATTTTACATTTTCAGTGGATAGTTTCTGGATCGGAAGATAATCTGGTATATATTTGGAATCTGCAATCAAAGGAGATAGTTCAACGGCTTTCTGGGCACACTGACACAGTGCTGTGCACAGCATGCCATCCCACCGAGAATATTATTGCATCAGCAGCATTGGAAAATGACAAAACTATCAAGCTTTGGAAAAGTGATACTTAAAATGCAATAAAGGTTAGTTATAATTTGAATGATTACAATTTGAGAAAAACACAATTTACTGTTTCAGTGGTAGTCTTTTTTCCCCTAACTAGTATTGAAGAACAATAAAGGTATAATTGTAGTAAAATAAGGTAATTACCTAATCATGTACCATTTTTAGTTATATTTACGTTAAAACTGTAGGTAATTAGGAAAAATGGTATTGGAACATTTTTGCTAAACTACTTTTTGTATGAACCCTCATTTCTAATCATTTTGCAAAAATGTTCCACAAAGTATATTTCATGTATTTTTATTTAATTTTAATAATGACTCAAATTTTAATAATGACTCAAATTTTAATAATGACTCAAAAATTACATCAAACTATTAAATCGTGTAAATATTTTTTTTAAACTTATATGTTTATTGTCATATCGTTATTATGTAAGTATGAAATAAATTTTACCATGATAAAATAAGTGTGCAACCATTGTGAAATATTCAGTGGTTTGTTTGTATTATCCCTAAACATTCTGAAAAATTTTAATTTTTTTAGTTGAAATTAGGGTCACAAATTAATGTTGCAGAAGAAATTTGTTTCACCATTTGCATCCATGGTAGGTTTTTGTTTGGGTTCTAGCTTTTAGTTAAATATATTCAAACAACTTTAGTACAAACAAATATTTTTAAATGTTGCTTTATCAAATGCTCGAAAATTAAGCTAATTTATAATTAAATTTAAATTAATTTTGTGAAGTACTCTGATGCAGTGAGTCATGGGTTCGATTTTCGACTAGAAAAACTAATTTATATGTCCAACAGTAACCTGTTTCTGATCGGGGACTTTTGTTGCTTATTTTTTGTTTGTTCCTTGCACTTGGCATACACTAATTTAATTTGTGTTAAATTTCACATGGGACATGGGAATTAAGGAAATGTACAAATTGTTAAATATTTACAATAACAAACTACAGGAGATTTTTTCATATTTTAAAATCAATTGTATTAACAAGATTCTACACACTCTTCAAGGCTAGAGTGAATAGGTTTCTATTGAGCTAGCGCGCTTACCATCAACGGCTGCATCACCACTTACCATCAGGTGGGATGGTGACTGCCATCCCACCTGATGGTAAGTGGTGGATGGTAAGTGGTGGTAATGGATCATGCCCAGTCCTAGCCAATTTTTGAATTAAAAGAAAAATGTTTTTAATAAAATAAAAAAAAAAAACATATTGCGAATTGTAACAAAAAGGACTTTTTAATTAGAATATTTTTCAATGTATCTCAAGGGTAATGCATTCTTATCGCTTCCAATTTAAACAAATGTTATCTCTATAGTATTTGTTTAGATATGTAATATATGAATACTTAGCAATAATGTATAATTGCCTGTGAATATGAATTAAATCAAATATTTTTTTTTGTTTCAGGTTTTCAATCGTACAGTGATCTGTATATTATGGCTTCATATTGTAAGCCAAATGCCTGGCCCTGTGAATAGTTTTAAAATAAGATACCATAGTTTATGGACTTTGACTATGGAAAATCGGATGGCAATATTGAGCGTATTTCTTTTCTATACACTAAGTCAACCGAGTTGTATGTGTGCATTTTCATTCGTTTCTAAGATATTAAATATTTTTGTATCTGACATGCAAATGGAAATATGTATGAAGAGTTTTAGCTATTATGTTATAGTTAAGATTGAGTTATTTAGGATCTTGCTTAAGAATAACTTGTTGGATGCAATTAAAAATTTAGTAGTTTTATATGATGTGTTTCTTTTCAATCTTACATTTAATTAAATAATTTATATTTTAAATCATACATTAATATTTATTAAATAGTAGTTCCTATAACTATGTAATGCTGAATGGTAGGATTAAATTAGACAGATATTAGACCTACTGTATTAAAATGATAATAATGGCAGATAATTATGTAACTATTTCACAATTAAAACTTCTTTATAATGAAGGTTTTACTATCTTCACATACAGCGTGTCGTTACAACCGCGACAATAAATAAAGACACATATAGAGGATAACTTTTTTAAATTGTAATAAATATTCACATTCTTTAAACATTCATATTTACCGAGTTATTAAATTTTCCAAAACAAACAATTTAAGAACACCCTTGCGTATAAAACTGTAATGTAAAGTTCATTTGTAAATGTCACGAAATATGAATGGGATTTTTTTAAGTGTGTATTTTTTTATGATTATTGGCAAGTAGCATTAGAAGTGTGTTAATTTAATGTCGCGGTTGTAACAACACGCTATATAAATCAAAACTACCACACATTCTCTGAATTGGACTTGTTAAGAGAAAAACCAGCAAAAAATATCAGTATTGTTTTAATTATTCTTTACATAATTCTATCTTTGATTGAGAAAAAAAGTGATAAAAAAGAGGATACTACCTACGGAGTTTATTTCGCCTGTTTCTTCTCCATTAGAGGAACCTCATTACGAAACGGTGGTAGATTTAAAAAACGATAGATGAAATGTATATTTCTTATTTCGAAGAATAAATGATTTGAATTGACATATAAATATTAACCGAGCGTGATAGAGTTCGCATCGAAGACATCCGCAGTAGAACAAAGATAACAGACATAGCTCAGAAGATTAGTAAGCTTAAGTGGTGATGGGCCAGCCATTTAGTTTGTAGAACCGATAACTGATGGGGAAGGAAGGTTCTTGAGTGGCAGCCTCGTACTTGCCATCGCAGTGTAGGACGACACCACACTAGATGGAGTGACGATCTGTGCAAATGTGCGGGAAGTCTGTGGAAGCAGGTGGCTCAGGATCGCTCTTCGTGGGAGTTTTTGGGGGAGGCCTATGTTCATCAGTGGACTCAGGACTCAGACACAGGCGGAAAAGATGTTGTGATGAGATTAACGTGCAACCAGCATATTAATAAAATTAGTTTATGTAAACTAGTTTTACAATTCAACCACTATTTACTATATCATTTTTGTGTAACATATTATCATCTCCCTGTTTATGAGTAACATTATACTTACATCAAAATTCAGTAAATCCCTAAGGCATGACCCAATTTATTACACTATCTCGACAGTAATAGCATAGATAATTCATGAATCCCCAGAGAGTTGCAGTTTTTCTAGGGGAAATGTAAGTGGCATAAGTTTGGAGGAGCGTATGTGGTTCACTGCCTAATTAATTCGATTTTGAACATTTTGTGTACAACGTGAAACTTAAGTCGCATTATTTCTTTGGGACGCAAGTATAACGGGTCGCTAAGAAACTGGTGATAATTCTACAAATTTTAATGGTGATAATTCCTTAAACATAATATTCATTATACTTATTAAATATAATGTTTATGAAACTTGTATATGTTTATGAAAAATTTATAACACATGACTTATAAATACATATTTTTGCACACTAGTTCATTAAAAAAATATAATAAAAAAGACCTTCAGCCTGTAAAAATAATAGGCAATAATAGTCGAATTTAACGATAATGCACGACGAAAAAAAAGAACTGCAAATTAGTAAACGGATCAGGACGATGGGAATTTTCTCTTTGTAGTTAGATTTTAGGATGATTTTTTTGTAGAATGATATGTTGCCAATGATATCATTCCATCGTTTTATGGTACGTGGGAGTAATGATGCACATTTGATGAGGTCATCATTTCAATTGCGTTTCTAAATTTCAATAATCATAACTACAGCTGTCCACGTGACGCAAGTACTACTTTTGTCCATTCATTAAGAGAAACCGATAGAAATTCAGTAAGAGAATAGAGATAAAAGATTACAGACCGTTTACCGTTAAAGTGAAGTTGATTGTAAAAAAAAGGATATGTACCACCATTGGCTAAATAGGAATCCTTATTCTTAATGCTTGCTTATAATCATTTTCAGTTTGTTTTAACTTTTTTTTCGTTTTCAGTCTTTGGTAACATAAAAAAATAAAATATTAATAATAAAAGCCCTGTCTGTTTGTCCAAAAGATACCCTGTCGCGCTCGAAATAAAACTCGTCTTCTACTGTGTTGTACAAAAAATGCAAGTTGTATTTGACACCATACCGGTCTATAGGACAGTAAAGGCTTGAGATACACCCTTTAGTAATCAGTGATATTTTATACTGCAGAAGATATGTTGGTAACGCGCCCGGAGTCAAGCCGCGAAAACGTTCCAATTAAGACTGTGGCCTTACGCGGTTACTACACATTATTAAATAAATTAAATTTATCACATTGCGCATTAATTTTTAATTTTAATTAGAGACGTTTCATACGACGACAATCCTTAACCACGGGACAGACTTGAGTCTTAAACGATATGCAATAAGTTTTCTTCAATTAAAATATATATAAGAATCCCTATACTTTATAAGAATGTTTGTTGCGAAGAACTCTATCCGCTATAGAGTTACTCGATAATTCTCTATATTGGGATTTGTTAAAACTTTACGTATGGTTTGTATTGTATTTGTGAATCGTCAACCGTCGTAAGTTGTGGTTTTAAAAAACGTCTTATTAGGCAAATATTACTTATGGAAAATCTTATTTATATTGAAACAGCCCCTAACTTTACATTAAAACACTAAAATGCATAAAGCGATACCTTCATGCAATTTAGTATAGTTTATGTGAGTATAACTTTCAATTTATCACTCAGCTCAATTCAGAACATATTTTATATAACTACCTATTACATTTTATATAACTACCTTCAGTCAAGTTTTGATTCCACAGTATTACAATAAATGAATATAGTATCGTGATTCGCGGTTGTAACAAAAAAAAAAATCAAATGAGGTATATCATAACGGTACGTTCCTTTTTCTAAAACTTAGATACTCCGCCTCAACCCCACGTACAAAGTGGTACTCACTAATGTACTCGAACAAATCCGTAACATTATCTGCCTTTTTAAAAGCTTTTCTTATATATACTATGGCTGGCTGGCATGGCTAACCATGTTTAATGCAAGGCATGGTACATAGCCGTGATAGCTCAGTGT